GCCATTGTAGGTCTCGAGCTGTCTGCAGGAGAAGAGCTTGATTTACTCATACGCTACCTGGGTAAGAATTCCAGCAAACAAGCCAAACAAATAAAGGCTGCTAATATCAGGAGCCCTGCAGCAGGTTTAATGATGGCTTGGGAAAGGCTTGAGGAAATCTATGGCTCTCCAGAAGCCATAGAGCAGGCGCTTTTCAAAAAGGTGGAAAGTTTTCCCAAGAACACAGCCAGAGAAACCCTCAAACTGCGTGACCTAGCTGATCTGTTGCTAGAGCTAGAAACTGCCAAGACGGATGGCTTTTTACCTGGCCTGTCCTATTTGGACACATCAAGAGGAATTCAACCAATAGTTGAAAAAACTACCTCACAATATTCAAGAGAAGTGGATGTCTTATGGTTCAAAATACAAACGTGAGTACAATGTGGGTTTCCCCCCTTTCAAAGTTTTCACAGACTTTATTCGCACTGAAGCTAAAACCCGTACAGACCCAAGCTTTATCATGTACAGTTCTAATCATTCAGGCATAACAGATAGAAAACAAGGACAAGAAAGGTTTTCTAAAGCACCTATATCTGTCCACAAAACACAGATATCAACTGTTAACAAGGTGGATACAGATGAGAAAAAAGCCTCAACAAGTCCAAATAAACTGTGCCCAATTCATAACAAACCCCATCCTCTTCAAAGGTGCAGAGGATTCAGGGAGAAACCCTTAGAGGATCGCAAACAGTTTCTCAAGAAATTCAACATCTGCTTTCGATGTTGTGACTCTACTGACCATCTTGCAAAAAACTGCACTGTCGAAACCATCTGTACTGAGTGTGATAGCTTTAGTCACATTTCCGCCCTCCACCCAGGTCCAGCACCATGGGCGTCTAAGTCGTTGTCTCCCCAGTTACAGCAGGGCGGGGAGAATGACAAAACAGACACCCAAGAAGTCACCTCCAGGTGTACAGAGGTGTGTGGAGAAGGAGTGAGTGCCAGAGAATGTTCAAAAATAATACTTGTGAATGTTCATCCAGCTGGACAAAGAGGTCAGTCTAAAAAAATGTACGCAATTTTAGATGAACAGAGCAACCGCTCACTAGCACGTTCCCAGTTCTTTGATCTTTTCCAGATTAAAGGGCCAAATCATCACTACACATTAAAAACATGTGCTGGGCTCACAGACGTGATGGGCAGAAGAGCTTCAGACTTCATTGTGGAGTCAGTAGATGAGAAGATAAGTCTTCCTTTACCTACACTCCTTGAATGCAATGAAATTCCTAATAACCGCTTTGAGATACCTACTCCAGAAGCTGCTCGTCACCACACTCATCTGGAACGTATTGCCAGTATGATTCCACCTCTTGATCCAAACGCTGACATAACACTTTTGTTAGGCAGAGATGTGCTGAGAGTACACAAGGTCAGAGAACAAATAAATGGCCCAAACGACTCTCCATTCGCACAAAGACTAGATCTAGGTTGGGTGATCGTTGGCGACGTCTGTCTTGGAGGAGCACACAAGCCTGAAGGTGTGAACAGCTACAAAACATACATCTTAGATAACAGTCGCTCAAGTTATCTCCAGCCTTGTGACAGCCAAATCAAAATCAAAGNGTGTCCTTGTATATTTGAAGTCTGTTAAACATATTACTACTTAATATAAACCCTGATACGTTGATTACAAATACATAAACTTGTTGCTGGTTTTATTGATTGACTGATTCATATCTATTTTTCTTCTGATCAGGTTGAACATCCTACTGGGTGGCATGACGCCTCTGTATTTCCATATCATAAATGTGTGCTTGCACTGCGCCGTTACCTGCCTGCTCATGTACACATGTGAACGTTGGGTGTTTGAGAACCCATGCCTGGCTTTCTTCACAGCACTCCTCTTTGCTGTGCACCCTGTTCACACGGAAGCGGTAAGTACAGTCCAGTATCTGTTCTCCATCTATCATACTCTGTAGAATTTTAATTAGTCATTTTGGCAAAAAAGGATTTTCTGATAAACAGAATTTCAAGCATTAGAATTTGTTTACTTTAAAAAAAATTAAAATGATTTACCTTCAGCAGATTCATTCAACTCTATTGTAGTTTTTAGGATGAAACTCATTACTAGGTATTTTGAAGGTCCTGGGTTCAAGACCCAGCCTGAGGTCTTTCTGTATGGTGTTTGCATGTTCTCCCTGTGCATGCCTGCGTGAATTCTGTCTGGGTGTCATGGCTTCCTCTCACAGTCCAAAAAAATGTGACTGTTAGATTAATTGGTGTCTGTAAATTCTCTTTAGGTGTGAGTGTGTGTGTACATAGTTGTCTGTGTTGCCCTGAGATGGACTGGCTACCTGTCAAGGGTATACCCTGCTTCTCACCCATTGACAGCTCCCCTCGAACACCTGGAAGTATAAGCATATTAAATAATGGATATATGGATGGGTGGATAAAAATCACTATATTTAAAAAAAAAGTTAAGTCAGCTATGCTAAAAGTCAACTAAACATGGTTTTCTCACTTTACTAAACTTAAGGGAAACCTCTTAAGTTGTTGAATAGAAAGATAAAAGATGAAAAGAATAAAATATGTGAAACACTTAATCCCTATGAGCACAAAGATGCTCAGGGCTGCAGAATTTGTTTTCTTCATGTAAACAAAGTGGACACTACTGTGATATGGCTCTCTGCTGTCAAGATGGTCTAGACTACGTGGTGAAATATTGCTGTTAGTTGTGCTTCCAGTTCAGCTGTCTTCTTGTTGTAATTCTCCTCTTAGCAGGTGGTTATGGTTTCACCCAAAGGAATGTCTATTCCTTAAATAATTCCATAAAATCTGCCCAGAAGACCATCGGCTGCTCTCTATGGTGGCCGATAGGTACAAATGTGCAGCAACAGAGAAAACATGGAAACAAAAAAAGAGATGTAAGCAAATTAAATGCAGCAAACAAAAAAGAGATGCAAACAAAAAGCAAATGAAGCAAACAAAAAAGAGACGCAAAGAAAAACAACCACAAATGAAATGCAGCAAATAAGAGAAAAGATGCAAACAAAAAGTGCTGAAAATGGAAGTGCTCCAGACCACTAGAGGGAGTCGAACAAAAAACAGCTGTGTCCAAATTTAGGGTCTGCATCATTTAAAACTGTGTTCAGAAAAGCAGCAATGGCGGCACAATGATTTTTGCTGTGTTACACTTAAAATTACACAATGATTTTTTACAATGTTTTTAGGCGAGAACGTAGATGTATAGATCTCAAATATCTGCTCGATTCATCAATAAATCACTTAATTACAATATTGCTCCGACGTTTTCGGAGATGTGTGCTCCTGCTCCATTAACAGCCAGCTCCCGTCGCCAACTGTCAGCTGGCCGGGCGCTCCAGGTTTGGTACACCGAGAGAGAACATCCGTCTCCTGGCAAATCGTTTTAAAAACTCTCGCTAGTTTCCACCTATGAGTGGAGGTGAAACACAGATAATAAGTCAGGTAATGGCTGTAAAATGTTTTGGTTCACTAAACTATTAAATTTATTCCTGAGAAAATGGGTTTGACAGATTAAAGTTAAGCCTTCAAACATAACAGTTTTACTTAACTGTAATGTCTTACTTCCAGAGATCTGGAGAGTATTTGAAAATGAATAATTTGCTTACATTCCTTGCTATACATGTTTAAATATTTTAGAATCAGACAGATATCTTTTTTTTACTATGGAACAGCCTTTATTACCAAAGGTGAGGAATAATACAGAAATAAAGAGCAACAAAAACCAACTTCGAGTCCGCTTTTTTCCTTCGCCGCTCTGTGCTTCACTTTGTCACGGTTCCTAAGCAACATAACGCCGAGATGGAGGCTAGGCAGCTAGTCGAAGGCTACAGCTTCTCTCTTCTGGTTGTCCGTATCCGTGGCCTTCGAAGGACCCGTCTTCCGTAGACCGGGCCGTAAAGGGATAGACGCCTAATGGACCGCTCTCGTCTTGTAATATCAATACATATAAATATATAAACATAAATAAATAATGATTACTGAACAATATTAGGCTATACATGTGTGACCAGTAGGTGGAGATCTTTTTAAAAGTTACAAGATGCACTCGAACACAGACTGAGCAGTGCACAATATTTTATTAAACAATTTCCTTAAAACATTTCTCTTTTTTAAAGACGAGGCTTCAGGCCTACTACTCGGTCTCTGGAACAAAAGGGAACATGTGAAACAAATGACAATTTCAATTATTCTAACAAAAAACAAAACAAACCATGCAATACAAAAGCAAATTAGTAAACCAATCCAAAAGAAAGCAAACAAATTAGTAATTAAAAAAAAAAAACACTTCAAACGATGGAACAAATTGTTGTCCGGTTTCAGAGTCCTTTCAAAGGGGCATGAGTATAAATGCCCCGCCCACACAGCCTGCCCATTCCGCAGCAGGTTTTGAGAGGGGCCCAAACAAACAATGGCAAAACAAGACAAGACAGCAGAGTGTCCAAAGTGCTACAGCTCCAAAACACAATCGGGTGCCTGAAACAGAAAACCCATTACTGTGGATCCAGGTAAAATAAATTAAAATCTAAATCGCAGGTAGCTTACCTAGGGGTGGAAACACAGCCTAACCCGGGAGAGTGCGGGTCAGCAGGTGAGGACCAGATGAAAGCCGCACACCACAATAACCTCCAGCTGCAGCCTGCAACGCCAGCAGAGCAACACTGCAGAAATGCACAATAGGTGTAGCACCCAGCAAACCAACCACGATCCCAGCCACTGATAGCAAAACTGGCACTTACAATCTCAGTTGAGCCAATCAAACACATAAGCCAACATGTAGCCGCCGATTGTAGCAACCGTGGGAGAAACAAAGACACACGCACCTTGCAGCGGCCTGCCCAACTATAAAGGCATCTGCCCCGCCCACCAATCAATGGTGCGCTTCCGGCTGCACCAGGTCCCAAAAAATCAGTTTTAAAAGTGGAAATTCGGAATAATTTTACAATGAAATAACAGCAGCTGTTATATGGACAGTGGTATCAGATGATACATTTACTCTTAATGTATTTATCCAGGAAAAAAAACAAACATAGTAGTTATGTTACAACCTCAATTTGCTCCCTTGAATCCAGCACATTACACCACCACTCCGGTAGGTGGTAACTGTGTACCAACTCAACCTACTTATGACCTTGCCAAATACCTAGCTCACAGTCAACTAATAACCTCTGGTCTTACAAATTTTGATGACCTACTGGGCATGGAAATCATCTTTCAAAGGTGCCATTGTGGGTCTCGAGCTGTCTGCGGGAGAAGAGCTTGATTTACTCATACACTACCTGGGTAAGAACTCCAGCAAACAAGCCAAACAGATTAAGGCTGCCAATATCAGGACCCCTGTAGCAGGTTTAATGCTTGGGAAAGGCTTGAGGAAATCTACGGCTCTCTAGAAGCCATAGAGCAGGCACTTTTCAATAAGGTGGAAAGTTTTCCCAAGATCACAGCCAGAGAAACCCTCAAACTGCGTGACCTAGCTGATCTGTTGCTAGAGCTAGAAGCTGCCAAGACGGATGGTTTTTTACCTGGCCTGTCCTATTTGGACACATCAAGAGGAATTCAACCAATAGTTGAAAAAACTACCTCACAATATTCAAGAGAAGTGGATGTCTTATGGTTCAAAGTACAAACGTGAGTACAATGTGGGTTTCTCTCCTTTCAAAGTTTCTACAGACTTTATATGCACTGAAGCTAAAACCCATACAGACCCAAGCTTTAACCTGTACAGTTCTAATCATCCAGGCATAGCAAATAGAAAACAAGGACAAGAAAGGTTTTCTAACGTGCCCATATCTGCCCACAAAACACAGATATCAACTGTTGACAAGGTGAATGCAGAGGAGAAAAAAACTTCAACAAGTCCAAATAAACTGTGCCCAATTCATAGCAAACCCCATCCTCTTCAAAGGTGCAGAGGATTCAGGGAGAAACCCTTAGAGGATCGCAAACAGTTTCTCAAGAAATTAAACATCTGGTTTCGATGTTGTGCCTCTACTGACCATCTTGCAAAAAACTGCACTGTTGAAACCATCTGTACTGAGTGTGATAGCTTTAGTCACATTTCTGCCCTCCACCCAGGTCCAGCACCATGGGAGTCTAAGTCATTGTCTCCCCCATTACAGCAGGGCGGGGGAAATGACAAAACAGACACCCAATAAGTCACTTCCAGGTGTACAGAGGTGTGTGGAGAAGGAGTGAGTGCCAGAGAATGTTCAAAAATAATAGTCGTGAATGTTCATCCAGCTGGACAAGAGGTCAGTCTAAAAAAATGTACGCAATTTTAGATGAACAGAGCAACTGCTCACTCGCACATTCCCAGTTCTTTTACCTTTTCCAGATTAAAGGGCCAAATCATCCCTACACATTAAAAAAATCTGCTGGGCTCACAGACGTGACAGAAGACCTTCAGGCTTCATTGTGGAGTCAGTGATGAGAAGATAAGTCTTCCCTTACCTATGCATTGAAATTCCTAATAACCGCTCTGAGATACCTACTCCATAAGCTGCTCGTCACCACACTCATCTGGAACTTATTGCCAGTATGATTCCACCTCTTGATCCAAACGCTGACATAAG